CAAATATAGACGACTATTGAATGGCAAGAAAATGTATTCATCTTGGCCCAGCCACTGATTGAAGAGGCAATAGTTGAACGTGAATCTTTATTACAGAGAATGGACCAATTACTTGGGCAGAAGGAAAAGTATTGGAGACAAAGGTCGCGGGCCCTATGGATCAAGGCTGGAGACTGCAATACGCGTTTCTTCCATCAAATGGAAAAACACAAAAATGCAAAAAACTCGATTAAGAAGATAAAAAACGAGAACGGGGATTGGGTTTGTAATGAGGCAAGGATAGAAAAGACCATAATCAACTACTTCCAGAACATCTTTGCTTCTATAGGGAATTTGGAGGACTCTAAGATTATCAAGGTCGTAGAGTGAAGGATAACCACAGAAATGAACAGATGTCTGGATATGAGTATATCTGAAGAAGAAGTGAAGAAAACGGTTTTTCAGATGCAACCTACAAATGATGGGGCCTCATCATCCAACTCCAATTCACGTTCTCTATGGTCGAAGTTGTGGAATGCAAAAGTCCCACCAAAGGTCAAAGTTTGTGTGTGGAAACTGGCAAATAAGCTAGTCTTTACTCTGGTCAATTTGACAAAATGCCATTTGGGGGGTGACTTGGAATGTGTACTGTGTAACTCACTAAGGGAATCGACCATCCACCTAATGGTAAAATGTCCATATGCAAGGTGTACATGGATGTGTACTGTGTAACTCACTAAGGGAATCGACCATCCACCTAATGGTAAAATGTCCATATGCAAGGTGTACATGGATGTCTCCCACTGTGGGGGTTCCAATGAGATAGATACCATTCATCTTTCTTATCTTGGTTGGATGAAATGGTTGGGCTAATCCTAGGATCTAGCTTCGCTATGGTCCTCATGATTTGTTGGGCATTGTGGGGAGCGAGAAATACGAAGTTGTGGCAAGGGAAGTGTGATCCTCCTAATGTTTGTGTCTCGAGAACAATTCAATAGTGGCACTTCAGCCCCATGTCGTCCAAGAGTTCATACCATAGATCGTTGGCTCACTCTACCTATAAGGCACCTCAGGATAAACATTGACGGTTCCTGGAGTGACGATAAAAAGATGGTAGGATTTAAGGCTATTATTAGGGAAGATCAGGGTTTTTTCGTGGTTGCGAAATGTGGAAATTTTGAGGATGTTTTCTTTCATATTCAAGCAGATGCTATAGCCTTCAGAGAGAGTTTGATTTGGGCAGTGCATAGGGGTATTCAAAAATTAGTTCTTGAGACTGATTCACTTCAGATTGTGGAGGCGCTACGTGATTCTTTCCTCAATTTGTCATCAGTTGGTCAAATTGTGGAAGACATCAAGATGTTGCTCCTTTCAATCACTGAAGTTACTATGACCCATACTCGCCGCAAAGCAAACTCTATAGCCCACCCACTTGCACGAATTGGGCTAACTCTGAGCCAAAGTTGTGAATGGATACCTCCCCTCCAATTGTTATTATTGATTTGCCTTGTAGAAGAATGTAGTCTAAGGCATTGAGAACTCTTATGCAACACTTGGGTTTTACCACATGGATGAAATGAAACAAACTATCATATCTTTTCAAAAAAAAAAAAAAATCAACAATGTATAATATGTCAATCCAAGTGAGTCGAACTCGAAAAATATCTACATAGAAATCGTTAAATTGGGGACTTACTAAAAGCCATGCCAGAGCCTTCACCAACAAAAACAAAAATAAGCATGGAGAAAAACTCAGCAAACGCAACCCGAATTGCATCAAGGTGGCTTTGCCTATCTTGGCGTTCCAATTGCAATTCTATTGATCGGCATTTTAGTAAATGGATGGCTTTCTTTTTTGTTCTCTTCTAAATTGCTCAAGAGCTTCGAAACCCTTGTAAACATTAAGAAAGCTTCAATGAATATGTTCTTGGGAATTGCACAGAATGTAGAGGAAGAAGAGAGAGAGATCCAAAGAGAGAGAGAAATGTATTGATATCTTGTTAAGCTTGTTATGATTACAATTTCAGTTATATATTCTCACTTTCCTTAGCTGCTAATCTTCCACCTCCTTATCTCAACTATAATTCTAACAGCTTTTAACTACTTCTAACAGCTTATCTCTTTAATCTATTGACAAGTGTCATTTAGTTTGACCCTTGATCTTCTCTTCACTTGGATAGTTGTTTTCTTCTTCACTTGGATCCTTATATCCTTCCTCAATCGGATGCTCAAGGGAACTGAGCATGAGATTGCCACAGTGGTGTTGAAACAAAGGAGCGGACAACCCTTTTGTAAGTATGTCAGCTAATTGTTCAGCAGAAGAGACATGTTAAACTAGAAGATCTCCTCGAATAACCCGTTCCTTACAAAATGATAGTCGATCTCAATGTGTTTAGACTTGGCATGAAAAACGGGATTCGTTGAAAGGGCAATTGTTGAGATGTTTTCACAATAGATCAGTGGAAGACTTTGAATAGGAACATGTAAATCACAAAACAACTGTCGAATCTAAGCCAACTCTGCAGTTGTAATGGCTAAGGCTCTATACTCAGCCTCTGTGGAAGACTTGGAAACTGTGTGTTGCTTCTTGGATGACCAAGAAATCGGATTGGAACCAGAAATATAACAAAACCTGAAGTAGACCTGTGATCATTGGGATCCCCGACCCAATCTGCATCACTATAGAACTGTAAATGGATTGGTCCTGGCCAAAACTGAATACCAAAGTTTGAGGTTTCTTTGAGATATCGTATGATCTGTTTAACTGCAATAACATGAGACTCCATAGGATTGTGCATAAACTGACAGGCTTGATTCACTGAGAATGCTATATCGGGTCTTGTAAAGGTAAGATACTGAAGGGCACCAACAATGCCTATGTACTGCTCAGGATTATGAAATGGTTTGCTATCATTCTTAAGTAATCGATGATATGGTAAACAAGGTGTAGCACACGATTTACAATCTTGAAAGTCAACTTTTGCAACCAACTCTGTAATGTACTTTGTTTGTGAGACAAATAGCCCTCCTGGTGTATAACTAATATGTAACCCCAAGAAATAATTTAGTTGCCCCAAGTCTTTCATATCAAATTTGTCTGTGAGACCTGTAATCACACTTGAGACTAACTCAGAACTACCAGTGAGTATCACATCATCAACATATAAGAGTAAGACTACAGTGCCCTTGGATGAATGTTGAACAAACAAGGAGGGATTAGCTTGGGAAGCTTTGAATCCTAAGCCAGGTAAAAAACTTGTAAATCTATCATTCCAGGCTCTAGGGGCCTGTTTAAGATCATGTAGAGACTTTTGTAACTTACAAACATAATGAGGAGGATGAGCTGTACTTTAAAATCCTGGAGGTTGTGCCATATACACTTCCTCTTGGAGAATGCCATGTAAAAAGGCATTTTTGACATCCATTTGTTTGAAAGGCCAATTGAAATGTGCAGTTAATGCAAGGATCAATCTTATGGTAGTAGGCTTCACCACATGACTGAAAGTCTCGTCGTAGTCAATTCATTCTTCCTAGCTATATCCTTTTGCAACAAGATGTGCCTTATATCGGGCAATACAATCATTGGCATCCCTTTTAATCATGTATACCCATTTGCAGCCAACGAGGTTCTTGTCAGGTGGCAACGAAACCAGAGACCAAGTCTGTTGTGTATGCAAATCACTAATTTCTTCTTTCATAGCCTATTGTCATTCTAATACATTGGAAGCTGCCTTGAAGGATTTTGGTTTTGTGATGGATGCCTGAGAGGAGCTTAGAGAGGCAGAAAGAGCCTTGCGTTTGAATATACCATTTTTGAACCTTATTTGCATAGGGTGAATATTCATAGGCATGTTTAATAGAACTTGCAGGTTCTCTTGTTGAAAATCAAGATCCACAAGAATGGGATACTGTGTAGAATAGTCAAAATTAACATGTAAGATCTATGTAGGGGAAGGAATAAACTCTAAGGCATTAGATGCAAGTGTATCCAAGGATTCTAAGGCTCTGGATGCAGTCAAAGAATCTGAAGCACTAGATGAATGCAGATTCAAAGAATCTATGGTTGTAGATGATGAAGAAGGAGTATGAGATGCAGGGGACACAACTTGATTTTGTAATGATATAGATGCCGGTGTAGGATTTAGAGAATCCTCATGTGAATTTTCAAATGTTGACACTGATAAAGAAGGGAATAATGCTTCATATGGAAAAGTAGTTTTATTAAACAAGACATGCCTAGATATGTAAGTTCTTTGAGTGACCATGTCGAGACAAATAAACCCTTTATAGTGACCTGAAATCTTTGAGAGAAATACCATTTTCTCTGCCCCTTATGACACAGCGGAAAGTGTTGAATTCTGCAGGAAGTCCTTTCAGCGCCAGAATTATGATATCATCATTTTCAAATATGACCCCTGCAGCTACAAGATGATCTCATGCATCTTTGATCTTTTGCAGTGTTCTTCTGCTTAATAACTTGCATGGATTTCCCTATAAACACCTGAAACATCGGATGTAGAACCTGTATATCCGGTTAGCGGTAATAAGCTTAGCGAATCAAGAAAATCTTATTGATTTCCAAAACTATTACTCCAGTTAAAATTGACACCTTAAATTATGTTTTTTATATATATATAAGAAAGGACTCGCATTAACACCTTACATTTTCTAATGTATTTGTTGTTTGAGAATTAACAAAAAAAATTAAAAAAAGAATAAAAAAATAAAAAAGCACTAGTGTGTAAAATTTCATGTTGTTATAATACGTGGATACGTAGCAATTACAGATCATAATTTAATGAATTGTGCTAATAAATACACTAGTATCAAAGTTTTACATGTAAGTGAACTAGTAGTATCATGTAACAATTTTCGTATTTTACTGAAGAATTTCACGTTTTAAAAAGACATTGGACCTATGCTGGCCCAATATTAATTGAATTGGGAGTGTGACCAAGTTCATACACAGAAAAAACGTCAATACTTTGAAGATCTACACTCGTCATGTTATGCCAGATCTCCATATTTCCTTTGTTCTTTGATCTTGAAACCATAATACAAGTCATGAAATTAAAAAAGGAGAAATAATATGTTGCTATAATTAAGTATGTATGTAATCAATGAGAGGCTACACTTTCCATAACTATCTCCCCCTTGGATCCATTAACTCTGAAAATACTGCACTTGAAGTTGCATCAGATTCTTGATCGCTAATTCCCTCACCACCACCACCATTGCCATTTCGAATTTCTTGAAGCCATTCTGGCATATCCGGAATGTAGTTCGCACTGTTTTCGGACGAAAAGCTCTGTGTAGAAGCCTCTTGTAGTTGAAGAGCATACTCCAAATTCCACATAACATCCCCCATTGTTGGCCTATCAACTCCATATTCAGCCAAACACTTCTCAGCTGTTTCTCCGAACTTTCGCAACGATTCAAGATTCAAATGTCCTCGAAGACGGGGGTCTATAATTTTCTCTAATCTTCCCTTCTTTTGCCAACTCATTGCCCATTCTGCTATGTTAACTTGCTCTCTGGGGAGGGCAGGGTTTATAGGAGGCCTAGCACACAAGACTTCTAATAAAACTACTCCGAAAGAGTACACATCTGACTTCTCCGTTAGCTGCTGCCGGCGATAGTAATCTGGATCAAGATATCCAAAGCTCCCCTTCACTGCAGTGCTCACATGTGTTTGATCCAAAGTAGGGCCTAACTTTGACAATCCAAAATCAGCCACTTTCGCAGTGAGGGTTTCATCAAGAAGTATGTTTGTTGTCTTAACGTCGCGGTGAATTATGCTCTCTGCTGCCCCATTGTGAAGGTAATGCAGGCCCTTTGCTGCTCCAATGCAGATTTCAAGCCTTTGTTTCCAAGTAAGCGGAGGAAGATTCGAACCATACAAGTGCTTTCGAAGAGGACCTTTGGCCATGTACTCGTAAACAAGGATCATTTCATTGAGCTCTTCGCAGTAGCCTATCAGAGAAACCAAATGCCTGTGCCTGAGCTTTGACAGCATGTCGATTTCTGTCCTGAATTCTGTAAGGCCTTGTTTGGAACGTGGGTTTCCACGCTTTACAGCAACCACGTTCCCATTTTCTAGCACTCCCTTGTAAACCATGCCGAATCCCCCCACTCCCAAGACCAAGCTCTTGTCAAAATTCCTTGTTGCTTCGCGAATCTCCGTGAATGCTAGAATCCGGCGTAAACCAGGTGAATGTGCTGTGGAATAATCATAACTGCCAACGGAAACTTTTGAATCGGAATTCCCTGCATGACTAGGAAAAGACAACCAGGCAGAGCACTGAGGCCTTAGCTTCCTCTGATGGATTTGCCGCCAGTACAGAAAGAAAGCAGCTGATATGAGCACCAAAATTACAAATCCTGATGAAGAAGCACAAATTGCCAGCAGCATCCACTTTTTCTTGCCTGCCCCAGATTTCAAACCTGCATTGTTATTCGCCGGAAGGTTCCCATCAAGGCTGTCTCTGTGATCGCTCATTTTCATAATCTCCAATCCATTCAAAATTGCATTTGAAGGGAGATCCCTCAGCATAGGAGGGCCTACTTGAACCAAAATCCGATTTTCGTGCATGGATACATTCGTCACAAAATCTACGAAATAAGCTGATGATAATTTCTTTGTCCGGCTTGAGATATCAAAAGAGTCTAAAGCAGATTGGTTGTTGATATACACATTGAAGATTAAACGGTTGAGAGCCACACTCACAATGTCGCAAAAATGCAATCTGATCAGATAACTGAAGCCCTTTTCGACTTCGAATGCCCATGATATGTTGAACTTCTGATTGCTGACCTTTGCATCTGCCATTTCTTGAGCTGTGGCATAAACCCAATTGGGTGCAATGTCGAGTGAAACTCCATCAGGGTAGTTGATGGATCCGGGATCAGCTCTGATGGTTCGTGCCGCTGCAGCGTTGAGAAGAAAAGCATGATCAGGCTCCCATGTCCTCCACATTGTGTCATTCATGGGGCTACTTATGTGCTGGCCTCCCATGTTTATCCGATATGCTGTCTCAAGAGCGGCATCTTTAGGAACATCAACTGGAGGTTTTCCCAAAGGAACAGACATTAGTTGGGAGCTAGAAAACTGTCCATTCGGCACCGAAACAACTTCTATTCCATTGATGAATGCAACTGAGTTATTCCAAGGTGACAATCTCAGCACCAACGATTTTCCAGAACCCTTTCCACTCACTTCAAACACATATTCCTTCACAAGTTGAGAGATTTTGCCTCCTTTTGCGAAAGAAAACCCATGAAGCAGTGTAATCCCATTGACCATAACCGAAAACACTGCAGATTTCAAATTGAATTTCGCGTTTTCGAAAGGATAAAAATGCAATCTGAGCCAATAGCGGCCAATCTGCTTGGTGTGAATGGTATAAAATGAAGTCTCTTTAAAAACTTGGGCAGAATTGTAGAGAGATATTGAATGGTTTGACGGATTGGATTCAAGATCTGAAACTGCAATGTGGCTTTGGGAAGATAAAATCAAATTTGGGTTTCCAGAATCAGGCTCAAAAATCCTGCCATCCTCAAGCTTCAATGCATTGCTTCCCCCACAATCAATGAAAAAACTATCTTGACGAACAAAAGAAGCGTTCACAAAAATGGATGGGATGGATGAAACACAAAGAAAAATGCAGATCAAGAAAATCCCATTCGGACAACCCATTGTCTTATACAAAAATGAGAAATATAAGACGATGTTGTAAAGTCGCGTCTGAGTGGACTCGCACACTATCCTGACTAACTAGCTTAACCTACGTCTACAGCAAAACGAGATATGTTTAAACGAAAGAAGAGCGTACCTGTTTTTCAATCCACTTGTGAAAAAATCAATAAGATCAAATGTATGATGCTTGGAAAAGAAAAAAGTGGGAGTTTGAGGTTTGTTGAAGGAATCATGGAAAAGCTGCGGTTTCCAAGGTGCAGCAAGTGACTGTCTAAATAAAAAATATAATTAAAAATACAAATAATTCCCAGATTCAAGTTCTAAGTTTCATAAATCGAAAGTGTGATGCAGGCTTTTCTTGAAACCATCTAAACCTCTTCCAGAACTTGAGATCTTCCCAAATTTTAAGGCTGCATCCACAAGATTCTCCGTTCTTTTTATCTTTTTTAATTGACTCAGTCAGTAGATTCTCTGTTGTGTTTGACCAGCTCCGATCCTTAACTGTCTTCATTGTTTCTACTTTATTTTCAAAGGGCTTTGCTGCTTCCAGAGAAGGTTAAGAAACAATATATTAAGGAGATTACAGTAATAAAATATGATTACTGCAAGTGATTTCAGTTTTCCAACTTTATTAAATTAGTTTGGATTGAGCTGGTAAAAAGCTGGCGCTTGACAGAAGCATGGCATTATTCTAGTGATAACTGTTCATCACATGCCCACCTTTAAATATTTGGTTTTAGCAGTCTTCTCTCTTATCCATTCTTTCTAGATTAACTAATAAATCTTGTGTTCCTTGATGATATTTTGATACAACTTTTGTAGAATTATTAGAGAGACGAGCCAAAGGTTCACTTCCAACAATACCAATATTATCCTCAACTTGGTAATTACCACATATACAATCCGTCAGGTATGAGATTTTATCACAAAAGGTCTCGATATTAGTTAGAATAAGATTAGGATATTTAAACTCTTCTTTTCGACTCAAACGTTTCACCCACCCGTCTCAAATTCTAGGTTTAAGTCCAAACTTAAATTATAATGTTGTGTATAAATTTGGAAAATGGACTATCTTTCTGCAAATGACATTAATAATATGTTCTAACTAAGGGCTCGTTTGGTAGTTCTTTTAAAATAACTGAAAGCGTTTTTAAAGCACATGTTTTTGGGTCCCAAAAACACTTCAAGTGGTTTTTTAGGACTCGCTTGCGTTTTTACTATATATTGGTTTCAAAAACATTTTCATTAAAAACGCTTTTAGCCATTTAAAAAAAAAAAAAAATTAACGAAAAGTCCAAAAAAACTTTCCTTTTAATGAAAAGTCTTTTTTAAAGGTATAGTGAATAGTATCAGGGAAATGTATAAATGTGGTTTTTCGTTAAAAATGAACAGTACCGGGAGTGTTTTGTTAAACCTCCCTTTTAAAATACTTCCAAACAAGCTCTAAGTTCTCAAGTCCCAACTCAAATCTACATTTTACTATAAAATTTTCTTATGGTTTGTTTGGACAAGGATTTCGAAGTATCATGGAATTTAGACTAAATCACTTTGAAATTTACTAAAAGATCATGTAGACGAACTTTTATAACCCGATATTTATAGTGATACAACCCTGGGAAGGCAAGGAAAACACATTCTTAATTTATTTACAATAGAAAATAAAATCCTAATCTTTGTGCAAAAGGAAATCCTTTAAGAAAATAATAAACAGTAATCGTATTTTAACTTGGATGTTGAGTCGTTGACGGACCCCAACCCGGTTTGGGGATAGGGCATTCCTTGTCCAAATTGGCTTGTAATTATTTTCATAAAAGGAATCCTATTCCTTCTAGTAATTAAAATGATCCCAAACACCAAAAATATCATGATAGAAAGAAGAAGAAGAAATTAACCTCTTCTTCTTATTTTGTTGGTGAAAGAAATTGTCTGACAAATTATAAGGGTTTGACTCTCAGTTGGTTAAGAGTATCAACCTATACTCGAGATCTAGAACTAAATTCTCGCTCCCCTAAGAGCACTTGTATAAAAAATAATTACAAAAAAAAAAGAATGAAATGAAAGAAACCACATGAATTTGTACACGAATGTTGATTTGTTTTAAGTGAGGCATGCACAAATGTGTTATTAAGACAGGAAAAACAATCAATTCTCTTAAAACGAAGTCACCTACAATGCGCATGTAATTTTTTGAGCAAACCTAGAGGTAAAGGACATGTTTTAAGAACAGAAAAATTAAGGTAGGGGTCTCTTAAATTTTTCTTTGAGTTAACAAATTGAAATTTATGTTTAAAACTTCTTAAGTTGTTGGTGAAAGAAACGCTTGGCAAATTAAGAGTTTGTCGCTCACTTGGTTAGAGTATCAATAAAACTTACTATCTTGTTTCCCCCACAATCAATGAAAAAACTATCTTGAGGGACAAAAGAAGCAAAAATACAAAGCTGAATGGATGGGTTGAAACATAAAAATAATCCAAATCCAGAAAATAAAATTAACAGAGTAAAATGCATTTCGGACCTTTTAATCACTGCGTTTTGCCTCAATTTCAAATTTTCGATTTTGGTCAGTGTGTATGGAAAGAGATTGCAGAACAGGTATGTATGCTGCTTGGAAAAGAAAAAAGAGAAGTTTGGGGTTTTGTTGAAGGAATCACAGAAACGCAGCTGCAGTTTCAAAATTCTAAAATATGATGTGGCTTTCTTGAAATCTTTTAAACCTCTTCCAGAACTTTGATCTTCCTTTCTTTAAGTTGTGCTGACCAACTCCAACTGGATTCTTTTGTTTCTGCTTTTATTTTCTAAAATTCTTTTGCTGCTTCCCCAACAGGCTCAAGAAACATTATTTCTAATGTATGAAATATAAAAGTTAAAAGTTGATCATGTTTTTGGTAGTTTAGAAACTCTATTTTGTTTATATTATCTTGTGTAACCATTTTTTTTTATAGGAATTTTCTGTAACCAAAATTCATGAAAGACTACAAAGACCGAGTTCTTGAAGGGTAACTGGTCACCGCAAAAGAGAGTTTCATAGTGAAAATATTCATATCAAATATCTATTTATTCAAATATTACACTTATTAATCAATATATCTCTCTCGTTACATGATCGGACGCTTAATGAAGAAGACAGCCTTTAGTTGCATAATGCCGGCGGACAAGATCTGTACTAATCTCCACCATGTTAGACACGGCATGAGTCCTATCCAGCGTGGCTGTGGCTCGACGAGTCTTCTTCTGCAAATCCATCAACTTCCAAAGACGCCTCTTTACCATCTGCTCTGTGAGGCCCCGGCGGCTCTCCTCATCCATCAGTCTCAGAATACCGTATGGGCCGCCCGGCCTAATTGCCTTCCCAAGCCCACCCAATTGGATCACTGCCTCCACCAGCTTTTTGTGAAGCTCCAACGTCCATGGAGAAAAATACTCCTTCATCCTGCCCCCGTTATTATTACCATCACTGTTAACGTTAAGGCCTTCAAAGGCTCTCATCATTTGGTCGGCCGACAGCGAATCATCGATCTTTTTCTGCACGCGCTGAAATTCTCTCATGTGGTGGATGAGAACCGGGCGCAAAAAACGTATCTTCTTCGTGTCCCGGGTGCTGTTCTTGCTCATGAGCTCCACGATCAGAACTCTTGTTGCCGCCGGTGTTGCATCGTTTTTGAAATCGTTCAATCCCAGCCCGACCGCAGCATCAACGAATAGCTTGTGGTGCTCCAGCGTCCACTCTGTCGACGATTCATCGATTCTTCTTGCCGGTGGCCGCCTCCGGTGGGAATTTCCTCCGCTGACCAACTCCATATTAACTTGCTGCAGCTGATACTAAAACTTCAATAGTGCTCGACTCAGTTAGGATAGTGCAATATGAATATTAGCAAGTCCTAGTATATATAGCTTGCAGTTTCTTGGCTCGCAAGGGACAATCCTATTCCTATTAGTCTATTAGTATTAGGTTTCCTTTTCCCACGAGGAGCAGGTTTCCTCTTTTATCCTCGTTTGTACTTGTAACTTGCAAGTTGCATCAGATTTCCCATTAGAATTAGTAAAGATTCGTATCATGGGCTAGTAACCTAGGCACCCATGGCCAATTGGGCTGATCTAGCTAAAATATGGGCTGGGCTTCCTGGCCCATTTTTATTTTTGTAATAAAATAAAATAAAGATTAATGAGGGCAAATTTGAAAAGAAGAGCTGATTTTCGAAGCCATTTTTAGGGCTAGTTTGGAGTTCGTGCTTTTTATCAAAATTGTTTATGTTGTGCTATCAGAATGAGGTAAGTGTTTAGTAAATTGTCGTGCTAAAAATACTTTTAGCAAAAAAAAAGATAGGGGTAAAATTGTCAATATCAAAGTTTCATTAATTGCTATAGTTCGTCAACTTCCAATGAAAAAAAAAACTTATTTAAGAAGCATATGTAAAGATGCTTCTGCTTTCTATTATTTTAAACTCATGATTTTAAAAAAGAAAAACATTTTTCTTTTTCATTTACCAAACACAATTAGGACCGCAACTTTTTTTAAAAGCTGCTTTTGATATATAAATAAATCAAACTGAAAGTAAGAGAAGATAAAATAGTGTACTAGAAAGAAAAATGGTGTATGGTGCTGGCTAAATTGACTTTGAGAAAATTTCTTATCCCTTTTCAGTCACGTGCCTCTCACGTGAAAGAGCTCTCCGGCCCGCTCAACCCCAATCAAGAAGCCAAACTCCACGCTTTGAATCTCCACCATCCACTCTTTGCTTGTAATCTCAGTGCCTATTACCAAAAGCCACTTCTGAGTTCTGACAAAATTCAAGCATGGTAATCTCATCATCACTCTCATTGAGCTGCTGGGTCTCTACTGCCATACCCGACAAGGTAGAAACTTTGACGATACGAGAGATATTTTATTGAAATTAAAAACAAGAAAGTTCATTACTAACTTATACATGTACTTGATTTTGCACCAGTTTCACTGCACTGAGTTGCCACGAGCTATCACCGCTCATTTTTTGTGCAAATCCATCACGTGCTCAGGAGAGTCGGCCTGCATTGATGAAAGTAAGATTACCCATCTCAGTTTTCTCTTCAAACTCTCAGTACTCAGTTACTAATGCAGGTATAAATTTCTATTGCATATTATTGATAGAGGCACACACATTGATTTCTTTCACTGCTTTTGGTTCGCAGATAAAAATAAAATAAAATAAAAAGCTTCTTTGGATAATTTTCTCATGATTTATGTGTATTTTTTCTGTGGAATTTTTGCTACATTGAGCTTTTTCGGATTTGATATTTTCTTTTCATTTCTCTATTTTGATTTAGATCTGACAAAATCACGCATTGTCATGGCACTAACATATACAGAAGTTTTTAGGTTAAGGTTTAACGGGTTGTGTTGATAAAAGGTGGACCCTTGCGACTCCTTAAAAAAATTACTTGTGTTCGTGTTGGCCCGTGAATGTCTATTTGATTTTTCATTATTATGCTTGTTATAACCTCAAACCTTAACAATGTCTTATCCTTGATGAAAAATTTAGG